ATTGTTGGTCATTTTTTCTCTACATTGAATGTGACAACAAATAGCTTTGTGCTGCAAATTTTTAATCACCTATTTATGTCCTTGGATCAAATTCCTAGAAGTGGGATTTCTAGGGAAATAGATATAAATATCTTTGATACATACTTTGCTATATCAAATCAAAAGCTATACAGATCTTCAGCATATTTCTTTGTCCACATCTCCACTCATTCTTTTCATCAATTGAACAACATCTGTTGTCGGCAGCTTACTTTGTCTGACTTTCTCATATTGCCCCTTGGTTACTTCTTGGAGACAAATGCAACCTGTGATGAGGTCAGAAGTCTCATGTTCACACTGAAGAGGCAGCGGCCTCTGAGCAGCTCAGTGAAAATGGACCATATCTTCTGACTTCAGTGCTGCTGCTACCATCCTTTGTCTCGGCACATTGACAGAAACAAAAATGCTCTTTAAGCTGACAAATGAGTTAGGTCATAATGAACATTCCAGACATCATGTGAACCTCATATAGGCCCATAAGATTAAAATCGCAGACTAATAACACATCATTTAGCAACCTGAAAAGCAAAGTGCTGTGGCATCTGCCTAGCTCACAGCAACCTCAAACTCCTGGGCTCAAACGAACCTCCTGCCTCAGCCTCCCGAGTAGCTGGGACTACAGGCAAGCACCACCATGCCCAGCTAAATTTTTTCTACTTTTGGTAGAGACAGGGTCTCGCTCTTGCTCAGGCTGGTCTCAAACTCCTGATCTTGAGTGATCCCCCCGCCTCGGCCTTCCAGAGTGCTAGGATTATAGGCGTGAGCCACCGCACCTGGACTGAAAATATGTTTAATTGGCTTCCACTGAGATTTAGATGTCTAAATGAATTAAATGGGTTTTTCTTCTATAATCGGCTCCATTGCAGTAATTTCTAGTACAGCTGATAGAGAAAACTTTATGGTTAGTTTTTACAAATTAAAAAAAAATTTAATTTTTACTTCTTAAAAATTATTTCTATGGTTAGTTTTTAATAAGCAAATGATTTGATATGGTATCATTTATAATTATGAGTTAGAGAGTCCTGGTTATTTCTGAATCTCACTTTGGAAGAAAGATGACTTGCAATGTCTCTAAATCAGAAAAAGGAAGATATTTTATTTTCAAATTATTTATATTATACCATTTCAGCCTGGTTTTGCTTTATTTGCAAGGGCTGTCAGTATACTATTGTTGTCAAATCACTCTTATTATTATAAGGGATTTGATATATCATTTATGTTTAAAAATTTTATATAGAACCATGTGCTTTTATAAACACCAAAGCTACATTACATAGATAATGGTGACTATGTAATTCATAAGGAAACAGGCTTAAGTCTTAAATGAGTTGTATGTGATGACAGGAAAATCTATTTGGTTGTAGATTTGTTGACTCAAAAAAGAAAGGTTGTGATATATTTGAGTAGGTTAATAAAGTTGTTACCTCTAAATCCTAAAAAATCGTGTTTGTGTGAGGAAGATAGCTAGAAAGCAAGAGATCAACAGATAAAGTAAAATTGTTGGCAACAGTTTAGCCATAGATCTACAGACCTGCCTGGCAAGTAGAGGTGCTTCATGCATGTGAAATTATAATTTTACATGACTTCTGATGGAAAGCTGCATGCTTTGGGTTCTAGGTATTTACATTTAGGCCCCAGAGCTTTGAAGAATAAAAGATGCTTCTTTCTTATGAACAGGTTTCCTTATGTTATTATTTTTTTTATTTTTTATTTTTTTTAGAAAAATTCTTAGCCTAGAAGGAGGGAGGGCACTGTAATTTCTTGTTTGTTGACGTAACCAGAAAACCCTGCCTACCCACCCAAGTTTGCAAATGACTCAATCTGTTTGGCATAGCTTTAGGGATAATCATTAACTTCGTGTCTTCATGACTGTGAAGTCTGAGCAAAGGGCACATTACCAAGGAATGAAACACATGCTGACATATCAGGGTGCATCAGCACCACCCAGTGGCCTTGAGCTAATTTAACAGCTCTTTGGAAAGAAACAGGCTCCAAAGGCCCAGGGCCTCTCTCTCAATGGTGAATTGTATGCACTTGCATGAAAGCACCTGGATTCAACTTTTGCAGAACTGAATCTGTAGGTGTTAATAGTTCTAATTAGTTCTTTGTTGACCTTCTTTCTGGTAAGATCAGATTATTTACAGGGTAAGAAAATGGAGTGTGTTGTATATTAAGGACTTTTGGCTCTTTTTGGCAGATCTGCAGCAGTTTATATATTTGTAAGTGGTGAGCTAACATCCTTTTTTTTTTTTTGAGTCAATTAGCAATCCATGAAAGCTAAAGATACATTATCACAAAATGAGTGACACAAATTATGCTCCCAGGAGTAGGGTAGAAAGTCAAAGGAGTCCAAGGAGAATTTAGTTCCTGTATGTGCTAAACAAACCTTTTTATACCACTTTCTACATGATAAAAGATTCTCTCCTTCCAGTAGGCACTGGTACTTCTCTTTTTCTAGATGTATATCAAATTTCTGGTAAATTTTTCATTCTTTGTAACTGCTGGATATTATACACATTTTTAAATTATTTTTCTTTTTTAAATAAAAATAATACTTGCTGACGAAGACTTGAGAAGTGCAGAAAAGTAGAAATTAACAGCAAGAGAAAAATACACAGTCTCCCTATTAAACACAATCCTTGCTACTGTGTTTTTAGTAAACATCTATCCTGTGCATAAACTCTGAAACCAGACTTGCCTTGGTGTAAATCTCAAGCAGGCCATTTAGTAGCTATGAATTGGACAAGTTACTCAGTTTTCTTGGTGCCTTGGTTTCCTCATTTCTAGGATGACGATAATAAATAATAGCTCTTCTGCATAGGGCTGTCATAAGGATTAAAGAAATTAATATATGTAAAATGTTTAGAATAGTGTCTGTTTGTAGTAAACACTATCTGTGTTAACAATTATTTTCCCCCTCCTCATCCTCTAACTCCTTCTGTTATTAGAAATTATGCACCAGGCATCCTGCTAGAAACTAGTATCTTGAATTTGCATCCAGTTTTTTTTTCCTTTTGTGCAGTTTCTTTCTGGCCTTTCTAAAAGCTAAAACTGTACTAACATATGATTTTGCCTCTTTTAAAAGTTTTACCATTATGTTGTAATATTATTTATTCATTACTATAATTTTTAATGACTAGTAAATGCTATTATCCTAATGTGACACAATCTGGAAAGTTGGTTTTTATTATTAACATGCAAAATGAAGAGGAACATTTTTTTCCTCTGCCCCATACAATCTGCAGGAATGGAACATTTTTTAAAAATGGCAAATATAAAGGTTTGTTTTCCCTTCTAGAAACAAAAGCATATAACATGATGTATTTTGGAATCCTACGCTTCTGGTTATATTTTCATTTTGGCTAGCGGATTCATTCATTTTTTTTTTTCTCTCATCAAGCACCACCTATGCATCTGTGTACAGGGCATGATGCTAAGTGCTGGGTATGTAACACTGAAAAAGGTATTTTCCTACAGAAATCTGAAGTTAAGAGATACTCAAAGTGATGCAGAGGGAACATTAGGAAAAGCACTTAAGTCTGCCTGATGAAGCTGAAATTTAAGCTGGTATTAAAGGATAAATAGGAATTTGCTAGGAAAAAAGGATGCAGAATAAAGTATTCTGACCAGTGTCAGCAATGAATACAAACAGAAGTTGAGAGTAGGTGTATGTCCACAAAGCACTGTAGTATTGTCCATAAAGAAGTATAATGCGTATGGTGGGGCAGAAAGAGGCAGGATGGGAAAATCAGACTGACGGTGGTGCTTGGGCCCAGAACTGAAATTCAAATTTATAATTTACCCAGATTTTTTTTAAAAAACGGAATAAATTCAGGTTTTTAAATCAGGGAAGTAAGCTGTTTTAGGAAGATAACAGTGGCAAGAAAGAGAATGGACAGAAAGACGGCTAGATTGGAGGTACTGATGTTAGTGATGAGGTTGGTACAATAGTTAATTAAAATCTGATGATTAGAATGAAAGGAGGCCAGATTCAAAATATATTTTAAAAGATGTAAAACAACTCAGTTGGAAATAGAGTATGATGGCAAAGGCAAAGGAAAGAAAGACATAAAGGTTTCTAGTTTTGGGTGGACAGAAATGACATTAATAGCTTGAAAATACAAAAGGCAAAGTAAAGGGGTTGGAAGGAGACAGGACGTCAGTTTTAAACATGCTGTGTATACTAAGCCACTGAGGTAGGCATGAGAAATTGGCAGTTGGAAATTTAGATCTGAAACTTGGGAGAGGGATAGGGGTTAAAATGTTAGCTTTGGGATGGTCAGTGTAATTGAAACCATGGGAGTGAGATTATCCAGTTAGAGTATAAAAACAAGAAGAGGTCCAAGAATGAAACTCTGGGGAATCCCTACATTTAAAGGGCAGAGGGAGCAATGGAGTTAGCAAAATGATAGGGAATAGTAATAAGCAGGACAAGAAGAAAAAGTATTGCTGCAGAAGCAAGCAGAAGGGATTGTGAAAAGTAGAGAATGATTCATCATGTCCAGGATGGAAAGGAGACAAATGGTAGGACTGAAAAGTCAGTAATGGACAGCTGTGTGACTTTAGTTATCAGTGACTTCAGCAAAGAGCAGCTTGAGGCTGAAGAGTGAATGAGGAGTAAGCAAACTGAGACAGTGACAGTGGAATCCTCTTCCAGCCTTTTCCCAGTTTGTTGGGAAAAGGCATTAAGCAAGGACAGAAGCAAGAAAGGTAACTATGGTGTTGAAATTATCTTCAGGGTGGAGATCAGAGGATTTCTGTAGAGTGAGAAGTCTGATTGGTAGTTTATTAACATAGCATGATATTTACTTCATAATTGGTCTAAAATTAAGAATGATTTAAAAAATAAGTTAAATATTTTATTCCTATATATATCTCTCTCTCTACCCCAGACCCGAATATCTTAGAGTGGAACACAAAGCTCTAACCTTAGTTTGAAGAGGGTAAGAATCACAACTTGGTCTTGTCTCAGGGCTTTTATTTTGATTTACCACAAAACAGTTAGCAAACAGTGCAAAGGACATAAATGAGAAAAGGATACAAGAGGTGTATTCAGCTGCCCACTTCCTGTTTGTGTATCACAAAAATTTTGGTGGCCTCAGCAGTTCTAAGAACTATGTCAGAAAAACATAGCATTGTGGGCTACCTTTCTCCCTTCTCCTTTTTAAAATCCCAGATGTCAGCATCCAGAAATAACTTATTTTAGACGAAATTTCTGTTTCTAAGGAAGCCACATCATTCAGCCTAAGGTCTGGGTCCTGGATCTTAAAAAACTCTGGCTGTGCCAGCTCTGGGACAATCTTGGTTGGCCATTTATGTTCATCTAGGGTCTTACGGGAAGACCTGGCAGGCCTCCAACATATGAAACAAGGCAAAAGACAAAAGGCCAGCAAGACCTTTCTTTCATTCTTGCTGGTTATAGCACAGAGGAACTGGAACCAGTACAGAGGAACTGGAACCGTGTTCGTGGTACACAGGTATAATGAGTCTGGAATATTAATGCCATTAATATTCCTCTGGAGTCCAGGAACTTCAGTATTTTTTAAAAAGCCAAGCCATTTTAACAGATGTTTTCAACCCAGTAGCCTCATCAACTTAGCTAATTCTCTTGAGTTCATTTTCTACGAACATCTGTGCACACTTTATGTAACCAATGGTGCCAAGGGGTGTTATTGTCAGGGAATCTTATCAGGGCAAGCCCAGATAAAAATCTCAAGATTTACTACTCATGGAAATCTTTACTGAGGGTGACTTTCTTGAGATAGGTATTTCATATCTGAGGGCAGAGCAATAAAGACTTTAGAGATTCCTTATAATTCATGTGGATTTGGAATTTTGGCTGTGTCCATAAATATGGAAAAATATAACAAGATGAATTAGTCTATCTCTGAAATAGTGTTTACATGTGGAGAGATATAAGCACTTTTTAAAACCAGCTGTCAAATGTCACTTGGATATTTTCAGCAGGTTTTAATAAATCCTGAAACTCAATATGGCCTTCTAATTTCAAATTTGTATTCCTGCAGTAAAGGATTGGAAAAGGAAAAAGAAGAAAATTCAAATTTGTCACTTTCTTAGTTTTCCGTGAACTTTTAGTAAGGCTGTATATCACAGTAGTACATTTTTTAAATATCTTAAAAAGATCTATTTTGTCAGAATACAGTATGTCTTTTAGCATAGACGGTAGATATAAATACTGGCGAAACAGCAATTAAAGCTATCACTGAAGTCCCTCTGAAGGCACCCAAGAAAGCTATTTGGGTGCCTCTGAAGTCAGATAAATATGTGCTTCAGGTGAGAAAAAGTGATGAAAAACCCTTTCCTGATATTGACATAGTTAGGTCCTGGAGCAAAAGTTTGAATCTAATTTTGTCCATGTTAGACTAAGAATATTGCTTTAAGGTAATATATAAGTCAGGGGTTTCAGTGTTTTATTCCTATTTGAATATGAAGCAAAACTGCAGTTTAGAATATGGCACATTGTTAAACACTACTAACTTCTTACTACTTAGAAAAATTAAGTTGGCACCTTTCTTTAGACTTGAGCATAAATTTATTTTCTGTATTTTCATAGAATTAAATGTCCTTACTTTTAATCAACATACTAAAACGCATCCCAGTATTTCGCTTTTAGTGATTTAATCAACAGCATAACATTGCTTCAGTTTCTCAGTCTCTCAAATTTCTGTATCTATATATCTACATATCTACATCTAAGTATTTTTATGTCTATGTGTCTATATTTATGTTAGCCATTAGGTTATTTTTGGTAACTTTGGTTTGATGAGGTCCTGCCCACCTAATGGTGAGAGGAGCAGAAAGTAGGATTAGGTCCTTACAAAATATGTTTGATTCTTATTCACTTTTGCTAATTAATCTAAAAGTGCTTGATTCTGATCATAAATTTGAAAATGACAAGTGAAATTTCTGCACATATATTTAATTACATAAAAATTACCAGTGACAAAGAAAAAAGGCTTATATTACATTTAATAGTGTTAATTTTGAAGACATTTCAAATTTCCATCAAGGATAACCTCACAGGTAGTGTTCAATGAAGAAACCAGTACAAATTTTGGTTGGCTTGTTAGGAAACAAAATGCTCTAAGAGATGTTCTGAACATTTTCATCAGAAAAGGGAAGATAATTTTTATAGTTGTTTGAGGTGCTGTAATACATCCACTGATACTCCCAGCTGTTTAACTAAACTGGCTGTCTGTTCTAAAATCCAAGTGAGGTTTGGGTTTTCAGAATGTGCATGTTCCTGTGTTCTACAACATTGTAAATATGAACCATTTATCCCACTAGGGCGCTTGCTACAGTTTTTGTTAAACTCAGCATTATTTTCACAGAGTCTTTCATCTTTAGCTTCAACAATCTTTTTCTCAGCTGGAACTACGTGACAAAGGTCCATATCCTCAATGGAGTCCAATAAATCTACAACATGGGGCTGAGGAGTGACTGATGTCAGATGTTTGAGCATATACTCTTCACACTGGCCAACTGCATCCAGAAGATTATTTATTTTACTGATCAAAGTTGAACTATTATCATGAAGGTGACACCAGGAGAGCAAAGCACTGAACAAAAATATAAAAAAGAGTTAAACAGGAAAAAGAATAAACAACCACAGGCTTTTTAGAATGTTTAATGGTAAGCCCTACATGTTTCTCTTCTATATAACACCAAGCAAAAATGGATTTAGGATAATTACGCAAGTCAAAATCAGAAAAGTAATGATGGTAAATAGGACTTAAAAAGTATAAAGATATTATCTTTAAATAAAAATTAAACTGGATTTAGATATCAAACAGCTTCTAAACTAGTGATTCTCTTATCTTGGACATACATTATGATCACCTGAGGAACTCTTAAACCTATCAAGACCCAGGTGACATCCCAGACCAATTAAATCAGAATCTCTTGGGGCATCTTCTTTTTTTAAGCTTCTCAGCTGATTTCAGGGTATAGCCAAAGTTGAAAACCATTTTTCTAAGCATACAGTCGTTTGCCATCAAGACTGAAGGTTACAGAACACCCACCACTGCACTCTAGCTTGAGTGACAGGGCAGGACCCTGTCTCTTAAAAAAACAAAAAAAAGAAACATCACTTTCTCAAGTTTATATTATAAAGTAGATATTGTTTGCTGAGCTACTAACAATTTTCTTGAAACAGGTAAGCATTCTTCTAGTCTTAACAGATTTAATATTGTTCAGATAATCGTGTAATGTCATAAAATAATGGTTATAAAAAGTAACATTTTAAAAATGGAATCAATTGATATAAAAGATTCAACAGTAAGCTTTCTAAACTTATAAAAGCTTATAAAATAAAAGATTAATTTGATGTGAAGATGAACATTAACCATTTTCCTACTATAGTACACTATAAATTCCGGTTTCTGATAGTTGGGATTTTCTAAAACCCCAAACACGATGAATTTTTTTGTTTTGTTTCGGTAACTTGTATCTTTTATCATTCTTTAAAATTAGTAATCTCCTGAAGCATTTTATGTTTTTCTCTACAGAGGACAGTTAAAGCTTCAAAGAGGACAAGCCTGCTATGCTTCTAGCTCTGCGTATCGTTTGACTACTTGACTCTGATATATGCCATTACTGCTATGGCATCCTGACAGGTATTCAATGTTCAGGACTAATGTAAATAGAATCGTTTTTCTATTACTAACTATATTTTATCATGTACTTCTTTCTAGTCTAGAGGTCTGTCAAATTGTGTGCAAGTACTAAAAGTGTTATTCAAAACATGAAGATTTCTTAATGGGAGATTGGTGGTAGTTCAGGTAACAAAAAACATATACCTTCCTACGATTTCTTTAAAAAAAAAAAAACATCTGGTTCACACATGAAAGTGAATGAACTGTTAATAATTTTGATTTTTCAAAGACAATTAGTATTTGATGCTCTGCAGCACTCTTGTGAATATAACACCAATAAAAGAACTTTAAACTTCAGTTTAAACACTTTAGTTTTACATTCTACTTTCATAAAAACCCTCTAGTATCAAAGTTAAAATGAGTCAGCATTTAAGCTTTTAAAATTACCTCAATGTTCCTCTGAGTTGTCCATAGTTTATAATGACTTCTGCACCTTTCTTATAACCTTGATTGAAGCCCTGTTGAAGAGCAACTGCTTTGCCAGCATCTATTCCCTCTCTATAACCTTCCTAAAATAAGCAATGAAGAAATGCAGCTGTAACTTAACATAAAGTGAACCATATGTAGCTCCTCTAAAAAGGCACAGAACCAACTGAAAAAGTTGATGAAATAGACCTTTACTGTGTTATGGAAAATAATATGGCACAGCTACACAACCAAAGCAGACCATGCTTTTTATAAGAATTTATTATTGGTTTATCTTTATGCCACTTCTGAAGTCTAGACTTACTGGGCAAGTCTTTTTTTTCCTCACATTCCATGGATGGTGAGAACTGGGCAACTTTTACTTTATTTATTTTTTTAAACATTTAATATAATTTTTTTTCTCTTTGCTTTTTTAGTTTCAGCTTGTCTTCATTTGGCTTAATGGGCAACTTTTAAAACACTGATTCTTACAGTTTTTAAAAATCCTGTGTTAGCAGCGTCTTCATAGAAAGGAAACATGGAAAATGACATGTCTGGTCCCTTAATAACTAATTGCAATGGTGTGGGTGGGTGAGGAAGCAGGGCAAAGTAGGGAAAGAGAAAACTGTTTTAGGAAGAGGAAGATGAGGAGTCTGGTTTTAGAAATTTTGCTTGATACCTAAATTCAACTAAACTGCAAGTTCTCTGTGAGTAGACATTTTGGCCTGCATCTCTCACTATGTCATAGTGCTCAAAAGATGCTCAATACTTACTAGTCTAGCCCCAGCCTCACATAAAGCATTTTTGTAATTGGACAACATGATTGTGGGCTAAGCAAGTATTATTTTACTGAAACATTAAACTAGGGTAGATTACCAACTGCAGCTTCAGAGGCAATTTCATGGTTGGCAAATACATTAAGTGAACACAGACCTCATCATCTAGTTCTCGCCCTGAACTAAGCTCTGAGTGCTCCACACAGAAATAAAGCCTAGTTTCAGGGAACATGGACAAATTAGAGACGAAAAATTCACACCTACCAGATAAAAAAAAAAGAAACCAACTTTAAAATTCTCTTACTTAGCCACCAGTATTCCATACTTGCTTTCTCCTATTGCCCTCTGACAGCATTCTTAAGATCACCTTTTCCATATGCCTTGATTAATACCACACCTAACTTGAGGCTCCCCATCCACTCGAGCAACCCATGTAAGCTGGGTACATATCCTTTAACAGCCATAATTAGCACAGAGAGTCTATGTTTCTCCCCCGACCCCTTTCCCTGTGATCCTCAACAAAGTGAGGGCTCTTCAAAGTCTGGACAAAGTTTATTTTTCGGTCGGTGCCCCAGCTTCTAACGCACCCCGCAGGTGCTCAAAGAACGCGCCCTGTTTTCGCACACTTTCAAGTAACCCATCGAGAAATCCTAGCAAGACGCGGGCCGGACTGAGTGGCAAGGGGCAAAGGAGGGCAGCGCCGGACCAAGCAGGGACCACTCAGAGCCCAGCTTCTTCACAACTCCGCGCCTCTCTTCCCCAAACCCGGCACACCTACGAGTCCCCCGCACCCAGGTTTACTTTGACTCGTCTCTGCATGTGACTCTGCCATTCCCGCTGCACCAGAAGGGACTCGTCCGCTTCCTGGTCAAACACGTCTCCCTCGTCTCCGGGGCCTTGGACCGAGGCGGCAGCTTGAACCCACGACATCACCGAGACAACCGAGGGGGTCGCAGGCCACCGGAAGCGCCGGCAATTCCTTCCGGTTCTGAGGGGCGGGGCGAAGACGGCAGGTCGGAGATTGGGAGGCAACTGCGCGTGCGCGGGGGTGGAGTCCAGGTGTCGCGTGTGAACAGCGACTGCCCTGTGGTCTTTTAGCTCGTAGTGTTTTGGGCTTTCTCAGTTGACAGAAAATCGGTTTGCGCCTCTTGTGAGCGACGCAGATCCCTACTTCGCTGGGTCCGCATTCCCTTAACCTCTGCGGAAGTCCGTCCGGACCCTCAAGTGAAACACCTTCCATTGCCACCATAGCTTCTGCAGAGGTCTGGGTTTCACACTTGCTGGCGTAGTTAAGCTGATGGGTGGTTACTGCCCAAAGGCGGTCTCTTTTGGAATCTCCCTCAGTGCATTTAAGGGATTTGACAACCCGACATTTTTCAGCTGTTAGGAGTGTGGAGGCAAGGGTAATAAAATCAGAGTTACATACTAGGGCCAATATGAGATCAATAAATATAAAGAGTAATTTGCAAAATCAATACATTTTTCACTTATACAATATCCTGCTTCCCATTCCTCCTCAGATGCCCTAAAAGTAGACTGTTGGTTTGGTAGGGACTTTTCTTATTTATATACACTCAGCACCAGTACTGTTGTTAACACACAGTAGATGCTGAACTAGATGTTGGTGAATGAATGGGCACCAGTAGTATTCTTGTTTTGCCCTTTGCGTGGGTACAATGATAATGATTTATCTAACATATTTTCTTGCACACCTACCTTGTGTCAGGCACCATTCTAGGCTTCGGGATACATAAGTGGACAGACAATACAGACAAAAATTTACAGCCCTTGTGTACTTTATACTCATGTAAAATTGACAGGATAACCCATACACAATATATAAGTAACATATAGTTTGTTAGAAGATCACAAATGATAAATGCTATAAAAAATTTAAAAACAAGCAAAGTAAGGGGAACCATGAGTGTGTGTGTGAGTAGGTGGGTGGTACAGGTTACAATTTTAAATCTTCAGAGAGAATTTTGCATCCACAAATAATATAAATATATAAACTCTAAATATTATAACATGTAAATTTTATTAACATAAAATATATTAAGATATATGCAAATATGTTAATTAGAAACAAAACAGTAGTAAGGGAAGCAATAAAGATAACAGTTGAATAATATAGAAAACCCCAAAACTTGCATAAATAAATTCAATTTCTTTTTGTTTTCTTTGAAAGCACCAATAAGATAGATAATCCTGCCATAACCCTGATTTTTAAAAAAAGAGAACAAAATTAGACAAGATAGGAATGAGAAGGATGTAAACCTCTATGCAGAAGAAAGATTAAAATATGAATTACTTACTGAAACTCAACAGCAACATGGTTGAAAACCTAGGAGATATGAATGACTTCCTAAAATATTGACCCAAGAGTAGAAAACATGAAGAAACTAATTACCATAGAAAAATTGGATGTTAAATATCTGCTATTAAAAATAGCATGGAGATTTGACAGTTTCACAGTTAAATCCTTTAAATCGTTTTTAATCTTTAAGGGCCAATGGATAATTAAATTGTTTTTACTATAATATATTAGGGGAGAGAAAAAGATGAAAACTCCCTAAATCATTTCATGAAGCCAGCCTTAGTGTAAACCTCATAAAGATAGTATCAGAAAGTAAACCAAGGTTGGGTGCGGTGGCTCACACCTGTAATCCTAGCACTCTGAGAGGCCAAGTCAGATGAATCATTTGAGCTCAGGAGTTCGAGACCAGCCTGAGCAAGAGCAAGACTCCGTCTCTACTAAAAATAGAAAAGAAATTAGCTGAAAAACTAAAAATATATAGAAAACATTAGCCAGGCATGGTGGTGCATGGGACTATAGTCCCAGCTACTCTGGAGGCTAAGGCAGAAGGATTGCTTGATCTCAGGAGTTTGAAGTTGCTGTGAGCTAGGCTGACACCATGGTACTCTAGCTCTGACAACAAAGTGAGACTCTGTCTCAAAAAAAAAAAAAAAAAAAAAAAGGAAGAAAAACCACGAAAATTCAAGTTAGTTTATGGATATATATTCAAAAGAGAATTCAGTACCTCATTTAAAGAATAATTCAGGAGGTTTTATTCCAGGAAGCAAACTTTTACAATATTAGGACATCTATGAGCATATTTCATTGCATTAACAATTTAAAGAAGCAAAATATACTAATGCTGAAAAGTCATTTGAAAAAACTTAAAAATCATTCTTAAGAAAATGCAGTAGAAATAGAAATAGAAAGGAACTACAAATTGGTAAAGACATCAGAAATCCACCAGCAAGTAGTGTTTTAAACACTCAGATGTTAAGATAGTTCCTTTACAGTATAGAAAAGAGAAGATATCTGGTGATTATTATTATTATTGTACGTTCTTTTGGAGACTGGTGCATGCACTTAAAAAAGTAAACAAAATAATCTCTATAAATGTTGGGTAATAAAAGATGAAGTTATTTCTTTTTGCTGATTATAAGATTGTATGCCTAGAAAACCCCAATGGACTTCAGTTAAAAACAACACTGTAAGATAATTTGATAAGGTCTCTGGATATAAGAAAAATAAACATACCAATAGCCTCTTTCTTTTCTATTATAGTAATAACCATCTAAAAATGTAAATGAGCTGACTATTCCACTTGCGATACCACCAAATATTATTAAATATAGTATCTATTTATATATTTGTTTAGTATTTAACATTTATAGTATTGTGATTATAAATTTCAGGAACACATTCTTAAAATCATGCAGTAACATGCAAAATTTAGAGTGTATAGTATGATAAATTTTGGCAAATAAACCACCACCCAATCAAGAAAATTCCCTCATGCTCCTTTGCACTCAGACTCTTACCCCCCCCCAACAACAACCACTCCTGATCTGATTTCTATCACTTTAGATTAGTTTTGCCAGTTTTAGAATTTCATAGTAATGGAATAATATTTTTTAAATGTATTTGGCTTCTTTGACTTAGCATAATATTTTAGAGATTCATTCATGTGGTTGCATGTATGGTTTCATTGTATGGATATACCATATTTTGTCCATTTACTCATTGGACATTTGGATTGTTTATAATTTTTGACTATTATGAATAAAGCTACTATGGACATTGTTGTATGTGTCATTTTCTGTTCACATGTTTTCTTTTCTTTTTTTTTTGAGGCAGAGTCTCACTCTGTTGCCCGGACTAGAGTGCTGTGGTATTAGCCTAGCTCACAGCAACCTCAAACTCCTGGGCTCAAGCGATTCTCCTGCCTCAGCCTCCTGAGTAGCTGAGACTACAGGTGCAGGCCACCATCACCAGCTAATTTTTCCTATTTTTAGTAGAGATGGGATCACACTCATGCTCAGGCTGGTCTTGAACTCCTGGGTTCAATGATCCTCCTGCCTTGGCCTCCCAGAGTGCTAGGATTACAGTAGTGTGAGCCACCATGTCTGGCCCCACATGATTTCATTTTGGGGGGGTAAATATCTAAAAGTGGAATTGGTGGGTCATATGGTAAGTATAAATTGAACATTATAAGAAACTGCCAAACTCCAAAGTGATTGTACCATTTTATACTTTCACCAACAATGTATGAAAGTGTCAGTTGCTCCACATCCTCTACCTCACTTGGAACTATCAGTCTTTTTAGTATTAGCTATTCTGATGGGTGTGTATTGGTATCTATTACTGTGGTTTGGATTTGCATTTTCCAGATGATTTATGATGTTGAGGACTGGACTCTAACCTTTTTTTCTCTTGTCCAGATTCCTTTCTAAGAGGCCTGGTGAGTCACACAAATGCTAAAACCTCACTAAACAGCTTTTATTAACCCTGTATGATATAGTTTACTTTCCAATCCAATTCTGGTATAGCATCATATGACAGATAGAAGACCCCCTTATCTTACCTCAAGCATTCCTTTCTGCTGACTCCAGGTTTGCAGACAAAGCTTAACTCTTTCAACCAATTGCCAGCTAAAGAATTCCTAAAACCCGTCTGTGACTTGTGAGCCCCCCTTGGGATGGCCCACCTTTTGGGCTGAACCGATGTATAATTTCCAGGTATTGATTTATGGTTTTACCTGTAATTCCTGTCTCCATGAAAGTATAAAACCGAATTGTAAACCAGCTGACTTGGGTGCATTTTCTCAAGACTTCGTTCTCTTAAAATTTTTAAATTTTAAAATATTATGGGCACATAATTGTTCTACATCTTTATAGGGTACATGTGAAGTTTTGATACAGGCATACAATGTGAATTAATCAAATTAGGGTAATTGGGACATCCATCACCTCAGGCATTTAACATTTGTTTGTGTTAGGAGCATTCTAATTCCACTCTTTTAATTGTTTTATTTTTATTATTTTTTTGGTTTTTTTTCTTACTACTTTGCATGATGCTTGAATCTTTTAGTTGTTTTAAAGTATATTCTAACTTATTGTTTGTTGTAATCACCTTTTGGTGCTATCAAATATTGTTCATTCTGTCTAACTATATATAGATACTCATCCTCCCTCTATCCCCCCCCCCAATACCCTTTCCAGCCTCTGTTAACCATAATTTTACACTATCTTCATGAGATCAATTGTCTTTAATATTTAGCTTCCACATATAAGTGAGAACATGTGGAATGTGTCTTTCTGTGCTTGGTTTATTTCACTTAACATAATGCTCTCTAGTTCCACCCATGGTGGTCCAAATGGCAGGATTTCATTCTTTTATGTGGTTATATATTCCATTGTGTGTATGTACCACAATTTCTATATCCATTCATCCATTGTTAGGCACTCAGGTTGATTCACTAGCTGTGGGTCTGTCATATATGGCATATAATTTTGAGGTAAGTTCCTTCTATACTCAGTTTTTTGAGCATTTTTTTTTAATCATAAAGGGATGTTGAATTTTGTTGAATGCTTTTCCAGCATCAATTGAAATGATCATGTGGTTTTCGTTCTTCATTCTGTTGATATGATGTATCACATTGATTGATTTACAGATGTTGAACCA